GCCCATTCCCAGCTTCTGGCAAACAGAGGCTAGGGACACCATCCCTGCCCATCCTGGCTAGTAGCCATTGATGGACCTATACGCCATGAACTTATCTACTTTTTTTGAACCCTGTTATAGTCTTGGCCTTCACAACATCCTTTGGCAAGGAGTTCCACAGGTTGTGTGAAGAAATATTTCCTTTTTTTTTTTTTTTAAACTTGCTGCCTATTCATTTCATTGGGTGACCCCTAGTTCTTGTGTTATGAGAAGGAGTAAATAACACTTCCTTATTTACTTTCTCCACACCAGTCATGCTTTCACAGACCTCTGTGATATCCTCTCTTAGTCATCTTTTCCAAGCTGAAAAGTCCCAGTCTGACATATCTCTCCTCATATGGAAGCTGTTCCAGACCCCTCATCATTTTTGTTGCGTTTTCCAATTCCAAGATATTTTTTATGAGATCAGGCGACCACATCTGCACACAGTCAGAACGCACAGAACCGGAGCGTCCCGGAGAAAGCTCCTGAACCTGTCTCTGTTCCTTGCCCTCGAGTTTCCCCAGGTCCCATCTCTCTGGGCCCATAGTGAGCACAGGGCTGAAGGCAGGTGACTTCCCGTAACAGAGACAATCTCAGGCTACAAAGCTCAGATCCAGGTTTCCTGGAGTTTGGGGGTTGCTGGGCTCAGGGTCTGGGGATCTGGGCCCATTTCTCACCCCTCCTTTCCCCAGCAGGGAGGACGGGGTGTTTCAGAAGCTGGAGCCGGGGTTTGCGGAGCTGGAGAAGAGACTCAGCGATTTCTCTCTGCAAAGCGCCCACTTGCAGGAGGTGCTGCTGGGATTCAAAGGTGAGATGGAGTCTGGGGGTGGCGTCTCCTCTGGTTAGAGCGACCCTCACCCTGGGGAGGAGTCGGGGACTCTAGTGATGTCACTGATCCTCGGCTCCATCTCACAGCCCAGCTCAGCGAGTCGCCCTTCCACATGGGAGTAGCCCTGTGGGGCTAGCTCTGTCTGCAGCAGCTGCGTTATCGGCCTCTGATCTCTGTCACCATTTCGTAGTTAACAGCAGTTACATTAATAAGCAATGGGGATTTCTCCACGAATGCGAGGGCCTGAATTCTCACCTCTCCAGTCTTCTCCTTCCCCTAGAGACGCTGCGACTGGAGCTGGGGAGCAACACAGGTACGTGTCCGTCTCTGACGGGCCATGGGGAGATTTCAGACCAATAACCATGTTACTGATGGGGCATCACGGCCTCCAGCCCCGATGTGCACCTGGAAATGGTGGAACAATGTGAAGCCGGGTGACCCCCATGACTGATTCACTCCTGCTGTGAAGCTTGACGGGGATTCAGAGTGAATCCAGATCTCAGGGGTGAAAAATGCTGCACTGGATCCTTCATTATTTTGTAACCCTTTTGGGGGTTACCCTGTGTTCGCCAGCACCAGCACGGAGTCCTTCCCCACCCCCTTTTCCTAAAGGGTTATGATTTGTTCTCTTTGGGTTAAGAGTGTCTGCTCTTGGTTCACATTCACCTTTTCCCAGAAGCTCTTCCATAGTTTCTTTCTGTGTCTCACCAGCCTGGGGAAATTCCTCCTTCCTTCCGTCAGATGGGTCATCTCCATTCTCACAGACAGCCGTTCCTTCAGTGGGATCTGCATCCTCTCTTAAAGAGACACAGTTAATTTCCACAGACGTATAAGAACGGCCGTACTGGGTCAGACCAAAGGTCCATCTAGCCCAGTATCCTGTCTGCCGACAGTGCCCAATGCCAGGTGCCCCAGAGGGAATGAACAGAACAGGTAATCATCAAGTGATCCATCCCCCGTCGCCCATTCCCAGCTTCTGCCAAACAGAGGCTAGAGACACCATCCCTGCCCATCCTGGCTAATAGCCATTGATGGACCTGTCCTCCATGAACTTATCTAGTTCTTTTTTGAGCCCTGTTATAGTCTTGGCCTTCACAACATCTTCTGGCAAGGAGTTCCACAGGTTCACTGTGCGTAGTGTGAAAAAATACTTCCCTTTGTTTGTTTTAAACCTGCTGCCTATTAATTTCATTTGGTGACCCCTAGTCCTTGTGTTATGAGAAGGAGTAAATAACACTTCCTTATCTACTTTCTCCACCCCCGACATGATTTTCTAGACCTTAGTCGTCTCTTTTCCAAGCTGAAAAGTCCCAGTCTTGTTAATCTCTCCTCATACAGAATCCGCTCCATACCTCTAATCATTTGTGTTGCCATTTTCTGAACCTTTTCCAATTTCAATGTATTTTTTTTTGAGATGGGGCGACCACATCTGCACGCAGTATTCAAGATGTGGGCATACCATGGATTTATATAGAGGCAATATGATATTTTCTGTCTTATTATCCATCCCTTTCTTCATGATTCCCAACTTTCTGTTTGCTTTTTTTGACTGCCGCTGCACATTGAATGGATGTTTCCAGAGAACTATCCACAATGACTCCAGGATCTCTTTCTAGAGTGATAACAGCTAATTCAGACCCCATCATTTTCTCGGTATGGTTGGGATTATGTTTTCCAAGGTGCATTACTTTGCATTTATCAACATTGAATTTCATCTGCCATTTTGTTTACCAGTCACCCAGTTTTGTGTGGTCTCTTTGTAGCTCTTCGCAGTCTGCCTGGGACTTAACTATCTTGAGTAGTTTTGTATCATCTGCAAATTTTGCCACCTCACTGTTTACTTGTTTTTCCAGATCATTTATGAATATATTGAATAGGATTGGGCCCAGTACAGACCCCTGGGGGGTACCACGATTTACCTCTCTCCATTTTGAAAAGTGACTATTTATTCCTACCCTTTGTTTCCTCTCTTTTAACCAGTTACCGATCCCTGAGAGAACCTTCCCTCTTATCCCATGACAGCTTACTTTGGTTAAGAGCCTTTGGTGAGGGACCTTGTCAAAGGCTTTCTGAAAATCTACGTACACTATATCCACTGGATCTCCCTTGTCCACATACTTGTTTACCCCCTCAAAGAATTCTAGTAGATTAGTGAGGCGTGATTTCCCTTTACAAAACCATGTTGAATCTTCCCCAACAAATTATGTTCATCTCTCTGTCTGACAATTCTGTGCTTTACTATAATTTTAACCAGTTTGCCTGGTACTGAAATCAGGGTTACCGGCCTGTAATTGCTGGGATCGCCTCTGGAGCCCTTTTTAAAAATTGGCATTCTCCATTTGGTACAGAAGCTGATTTAAATGATAGGTTACAGACTACAGTTAGTCGTTCTGCAATTTCACATTTGAGTTCCTTCAGAACTCTTGGGTGAATATCATCTGGTCCTGGTGACTTGTTATTGTTTAATTTATGTTTGTTCCAAAACCTCCTCTAATGACACCTCAGTCTGGGACAGTTCCTCAGATCTGTCCCCTAAACAGAATATCTCAGGTTTGGGAATCTCCCTCACATCCTCAGCCGTGAAGACTGATGCAAAGAATTAATTTAGTTTCCCTGCAATGGCCTGATTGTCCTTGAGTGCTCCTTTAGCACCTCGATCGTCCAGGGGCCCCACTGGTTGTTTAGCAGGCTTCCCGCTTCTGATGTACTTAAAAATCTTTTTGGTATTACTTTTTGAGTCTTTGGCTAACTGTTCCTCAAATTCTTTTTTGGCCTTCCTAATTGTATTTTTATACTTCATTTGCCAGTGTACATGCTCCTTTCTATTTTCCTCACTAGAATTTAACTTCCACTTTTTAAAGGCTGCCTTTTTGCCTTTCACTGCTTCTTTATTTTGTTGTTTAGCCACGGTGGCACTTTTTGGGTTCTCTTACTATGCCTTTTTAATTTGGGGTATACATTTAAATTGAGCTTGCAGGGATTTCACTTCTGGCGCTGGACCTTTTAATTTCTGTTTAACTAACTTCCTCGTTTACTTCATTTGATTCTACGCTTTTTTCACATATAGTGCCACTCCCCCAACAGCACGACCTGTTCTGTCCTTCCGATATCTTTTGTACCCTGGTATTACTGTGTCCCATTGATTATCCTCATTCCACCAAATTTCTGTGATGCCTATTATATCAATATCCTCATTTAATACGAGGCACTCTAGTTCACCCATCTTATTATTTAGACTTCTAGCATTGGTATATAAGCACTTTAAAAACTTGTCACTTTTTAGCTGTCTGCCATTACATGATGGAATTGAATGGGACTTTTTTTCATTTGACTAATTCTCATCAGATCCTACCTGTATTTGATCATCTTCCATCCTCTCCTCCTTACCAGGACATAGAGAATCTCCATTAATAGGTCCTCCCCTAAGAGATGTCTCTGTCCGAACCACATCCTTCTCCGCACCTGTCGGCTTTCCCCCAGCCCTGAGTTTAAAAACTGCTCTACCACCTTTTTAATTTTAATATCAGGACCAGCACCCTAAAACACTGGGACCTGGATTGGGGTACCCTCCGTTACTCCTCTCTCTATCCCTGAGAGGTCAGTTGTGTGGTAAGTTACACCGTTCCCTCTCAAAACCTGAGTCACAGCTGGGTGCCCATATGCTGAATCAGCCATTCTGTCCTGGACATCCTCTCCCAAGTGACCAGTGAGGAGACATTCCTGTATTCCCACTATTCCTTCCCTGGTTTCCTCCTCTGGACCCCCCTCTAGAGTGAGATCTGTCAGCTGCAAAACTCTGCCAGCTAGCAACTGGGACAGTTCCCTCACTGACAGCAGGCAATACACGCTCCTCCCTCCCTGAGGAGACGCTGCCTTCAGCTGCAGTGCAGGAGCTGGTCTCAACCACCTTCACACCTGGAAGCGTGCGGCTTCCCCCTGCTGCAGAGTAATCAAGGAGGCTTGCTCTCATTTCTTCAGTAGTTCTTGGGACTTTACCCTTTCCCTCTGGGGTCCCAGCACCATACTCCTTGTCGCAGGTAAACTGTCACGGAGCCCCCGGCCGATGCTCTGGAACTGCTCCCCACAAAGCCAGTCAGGATTTTGGGGAGCCTCCTCTCCCTCGGAGCAGACTGTCTTCAGGGCAAGAAGCTCACACGGCTTCACCTTCCTGGGTCTCTCCTTGGAGCATTCAGCTGCCCCTCTGTGCGCTTCCCACAGCGATTCCACCCAGGCGGGGTCCTGGGGAAGCCACAGGGTCCTGCCCCCCAACTCTGCAGTCAGACGTGACTCTTAGCCAGCCAGTAAAACAGAGGTTTATTAGATGACAGGAACACGGTCTAAAACAGAGCTTGTAGGTACAAAGAACAGGACCCCTCAGCCGGGTCCATTCTGGGGCCCAGCGAGCCAAACAACCCCGTCTGCACTCACTTCCTATCCCCAGCCAGCTCCCAACTGAAACCCACTCCAGCCCCTCCTTTCTGGCCTTTGTCTCGTTCTCGGGCCAGGAGGTCACCTGATCTCTTTGTTCACCTTTAGCTATCCCCTTGCAGGGGGGAAGGGCCCCAGCCATTTGTTGCCAGGATACAGAGTGTTGGCCATTTATGCACACTGGAGACTTAAGAAATGCATAGGGGAAACTGAGGCACCCACACAGTATTCTGAGGAAACATTAAGAACATTCCCACTTCGTCACATAAACACCTTAACAGCCTGAGCTACATGATAAAAATCATTTCCAATTAACATGTCATTGGGGTTATCGTCCACCACCTCCACTGTTAATAAACTTTCTAACCCACCAGTTTCTATGTGCGTTTTTGCCAAAGGCACAAGAATCTCCTGCTAATAAGAGCTCTGCCATCTGTCCCGGCAGTATGTCACCTTGAATTATACTCCGCATGATCGCAGAGATTTCTGCCCCTGTATCTTCCCACCCTAGGTATTCCCTGCCATTAATCCTGCCAAAATGTACTTCATGTCTGGCTCTGCAGATCTAATCCCACAAAAACACTATAATCTGTCTCAATCGCATGAGAGGTTTCTGTGTCGAGGACGGCAGAACTAACATGAGCTACAGGTTGCCTGGTTCCTCCCAGCACAGAGCATTTATGTCTTGGGTGATCAGTGGAATTACAGCGATAGAACCTTTTGGGCTCTTCCGTTTTCACAGGGGATTTGGGATTAGGATTAGAGGAATGGTTTTGGGGAGGTGATTGCCTCCCAGCCACCCTCTTTCTTCCCCAGGAGTAAAACAGAACCCTGCTTCCCACCAGGTTTAAACCCCTCTTTCTGTGGTTTATTCACAGTAGATGCCTGGATCTGCTCAAAGGCACCAGCTGCTAGAGAAGCCATCTCTTCCACAGTCGTCACATTTTTATCCCATGAACGTTGCTGTACCTCATCTTTACATATATTTAAGGGCTGTTCTTGAGCAAACATTTCTTCAAAACTTTCCCCCCCTTTCCCAGTAAATCTTTCATTCTGTACACCTCTACCCCAATATAACACAAATTCGGATATAACGCGGTAAAGCAGTGCTCTGGGGGGGTGGGGCTGCGCACTCCGATGGATCAAAGCAAGTTCGATATAATGCAGTTTCACCTATAATGCGGTAAGATTTTTTGGCTCACGAGGACCGCGTTATATCAAGGTAGAGGTGTATAAATGTTCACTCACACCAGCATCCCTCTTAAGATTTCTAAATTTCACTCTGTATGTATCAGGGGTAATTTGAAACCTTTACAAAACCATATTTTTTTTAATTTAAATGTACGGGCGTCTAAAGCATCTTCAACTGGTATTTCATTTAATACATTTTCAGCTTTACCAGTTAGTTTTGCAATCAGGGTAGGAACTCTCTTGGCATCTGGGATTTCATGCACTGCACACGGCCTTTCAAATGTGGAAAGGGATTCAGTAGTATCACCTGCCTTGTTGGATGCAGGACGTAGGTGGTCCCAATTTGTGGATTTTTGCAGAGGTGAGAATCAGAGGGGTGTGTGTGGGGGTAGGAGGTGCTGGTTCTCCTTTTCTAGCAGTTCCAGTTGGTGTCTCGGCTTTCTCTCTCTCTCTTTCCTCTGCCTCCATCTGCTTCGGGGCTAAGGTTCCCTGATGTGCTGCTTCTTTCCCTTTTATCTCCAGTTCTTCCATTCTCAGCTGACGCTCATAGTCTCTCTCTTTTCCTGCCACCTGCAGTCTGGACAGCTCCAACTTTGCAATTGCTTCACTGCCTTCGCTCATCGTTAAGCTTCCCTTTCCCGAAATGAGCAAACAGAAAATAACAAACCGGTAACCTTCTCTCAGCCACCACACTTCAAAGCTCTACACCAGTGTCTGAAGTGCAAACCTCCCTCAGAACTACAAGTGGTGCATTTCATCCTGCTTGCTGCACCACTGTGATGGGATCCCCGGTGTACAACCTGGAACTGGGGTACCACAGTGACCCGTTAACTCTCCAGCCTGGGTTGTCTCTCTCAATGCTTTGCTAGTGACAAGCAGCAAAACCCCTCCTAGTTCGGTGATCACTCAGCATGTGGAGCCCCACACCCAGCTAGATTGCATGAACGCTCCCAGAGCCACTCAGGAATCACACAGAAAGGCACCGGCCAATTCCCCCCAGCCTTGCACGGCAGAGCTGTACGGTCTTGCCCTGGTAGAAGCCTGACCCGTGTACGTTTGTTACCCAGTCTCCCCTTCCTCAATGTGGAGAGGGCAGGCAGCAGCCTTTGTAAACCGAGTTGAGATTTCCGAAGCACTTCAAGCAAAATACGCCTTTTTAGGGAAAGTATCCAACAGATTTATTAACTACAGAAAGATCGATTTTAAATGGGAGGCATAAAAGGTCAGAGATAGAGTATCATCAGGGTGGGAAGGGACCTCAGGAGGTATCTAGTCCAACCCGCTGCTCAAAGCAGGACCAATCCCCAGACAGATTTTTACCCCAGTTCCCTAAATGGCCCCCCTCAAGGATTGAGCTCACACCCTGGGTTTAGCAGGCCAATGCTCAAACCACTGAGCTATCCCTCCCCTGATAGTTACCAAAGAAAATAAAAGATAAGTGCACAATCTAAATCTTAAACCTTATTCCACTAGGCAGCATTTCAATCAAGCAATTTTTTCACCCCACTGGATGTTACAGTTGTTAATACAGAGACTTCTCCCTTAAGCGTGGGACCAGTCCCCTCAGATGAAGTTTTTGTCTTCTCAGCGTTCTTGTTGCTTCCGGCATAGGTGGGGGAGGAGAAAGGTCCAGTCACGATGACACTGTCCCTTATTTTATACCCTCAGTCTACGTGCCTGGAAAATACTAGCCCAGACATGTCCTGGTGGGCTTAGCTGAGTCACAGAGTTGAGGAATCCCCTTGGTGTGTGTGATGATGCGGTTCTGGCGGAACCCAACTGAGAGTGCCAACTCAGGACAAATTGCTCAAACAGGGCAGTTACAGCCCAAGGCTGGGGTTCTTCCACCTCTAAGGCAAACCAAATCAGCCAGACTAAGAGGACTTCGGTCTCACCCCACTGGCTAACCGCAAGTCTCACAAGCAATTCCCTTAGACACTCCAGTTTCCCAGTATCACCACCAGTACCACTCGTTATGGGGACAAATGGTTATGAAAACCAATACCCCAATAAAAGAAAAAAGGTTCTCCTGATCCCATAGGACCAAGCCCCAGATCCAGGTCAATATACAAATCAGATCTTACCCACAAATCACGCTGTTGCCAATCCTTTAGAATCTAAAATCTAAAGGTTTATTCATAAAAGAAAAAAGATAGAGATAAGAGTTGGAATTGGTTAAATGGAATCAATTACATACAGTAATGGCAAAGTTCTTGGGTCAAGCTTGCAGCAGCAATAGAATAAACTGCAGGTTCAAATCAAGTCTCTGGAATACATCCCCCGCTGGGATGGGTCCTCAGTCCTTTGTTCAAAGCTTCAGTTTGTAGCAAAGTCTCTCCAGAGGTAAGAAGCAGGATTGAAGACAAAATGGAGATGAGGCATCAGCCTTATATAGTCTTTTCCAGGTGTAAGAACACCTCTTTGTTCTTACTGTGGAAAATTACAGCAAAATGGAGCCTGGAGTCACATGGGCCAGTCCCTGCATACTTTGCTGAGTCTGAAGGCATATTTCCCTTCTCTCAGTGGGTCCATTGTATAGCTGATGGTCCTTAATGGGCCATCAAGCAGGCTAGGCAGAGCTAATCCCAGCTTGTCTGGGATGTCACCCAGAAGCATAGCATAAGTTTGCCATACAGACAGTATAGAGCCAATATGCATAACTTCAACTACAAAACTGATACACACATATAGACAGCATAATCATAACCAGTAAACCATAACCTTGTCTTAGACACCCCATTTGACCCCCTTTATACAAGATTTGGGTGCCACTACAGGACCTTGGTTGCAACAATGATCTATATGGTCCCAGTTTATGTCAATAACGTCACAGTGTGATCTTGAGCAACTGAGACATAGAGTGGAGCAGTCCCCATTGTGTGGTGCTCGTTGACTTGTAAATCCCTTGATGACCGCTCTCCTGCTGAGCTGATCAATAGTCACTGAACACCCACCTGGGCAGAGATTCCCCCCCCTTTGTAGCAGAGACGCTCAAATGTACGCCGTATTTCAGTAACAAAATCTCATAACTTCCTACACACGAACAATATACCTATTTGGACAGCACCGCGGGTTTCAGGAGATCATGAGCTTTCAGAGGATAACTTACGTGGCCTGCTTTGTATGAAATATCACAGCCCTATCTAAATTGTGAGTCTTGGGTTTACAGGATGTGACTTTGAGATACAGTGGGTTTAGTCCTGGTGGGAGGGGATGGGTCTGCACCGAGCTTTTTCCCATCATGAGAGTCGATGTCTATACAGAGAAAAAGCCAGTGAGAATGTGAAATGCCTTAAAGTCTGATCTGAATTCCCCCCAGTAACCCTTCTCCCTCTGACAGGCTGCAGAATAACATCCCCGGGTCCCTCCAGACTCTCCCAGCCTGCCCGGGGAAGGGAAATGGATGCGGCAGAGCTGGCTCAGGTAGGGATGCTGAGGACATGATGGGGGGGTTCCCGCAGGAGCCAGAGGGACGGGGAATACATGGGAAGTGGGAGTTTGATCTAAGAGTGGGAGGGTGCAGGCCGTGCACAGGGTCGAGAAAGGTGGGGGGACAAGGTGTGATGGACCTGCTGGGACTTGGTAAATCTGGAGCCGGGATTCTAGGAATAGGCCCATGGGGGTTGGGTGTGGAAATCTCTCTATTTGTGGAAGAGGAACAACCCCGGCTGGGCTGGGAAAACTTCCCAGACTCTCAGTGCTGGAGGGTGAACCCACTAACCAGAGTTGTTATGACCTATGGAGGGGACACGCAGCAGAGGGGCTTAGGGAAGATGCCCCCATCCCCTGACATCCAGCTGCTGAGAATGGGGAGGGGGTTGGGATTCCTGAATCTCCAGTTCAGACTCTGACTAGTTGGTGTGTGATGAAAGGGAAGACCCTTCCCCCGCTATCTGCTAGAAGGTCGAGGGGCTCTCTCTATCGCCCCTCACCCTGATGCTTCCTGGGTGCTTTGAGCAGGTGGTGAGTGGCGCTCTGTTGACTGTGCATCCATTTGTTTGGCCCTGCTACTCCATAAAGAGTGGGGCTGTGAGTGGGGCAGCAGGTACTGAGTGGGGGGTTCTTTCTCTTTCAGGGGCCAGTGACCTTCGAGGAGGTGGCTGTGTATTTCACCAGGGAAGAATGGGCTCTACTGGACCCCACTCAGAGAGCTCTCTACAGAGCCGTCATGCAGGAGAACTACGAGAATGTGACCTCGCTGGGTAAGGAATCCCGTCCCCTCGGTTCTTAGAAGAGGAAATAAAAAGCTAAGGTTCATGTCACCCCCACAATGCCACCTCTACTCTGCCGTGTTTCAGCAACACCCCAACATGCCAGTGAAACACACACCCGCACTCTGTTCTCCCCTGCTACACAACGCTCTGGGAACTGGGCCCAGGGGCAGTACAGCACAAAGTCTAACACTTTCTCTTGGCTAAGGTAGCACTTGGATTTAGGTCCAGCCTAACGAAGAGGCGCTTCCGACTCCTGGCCGGCCCTCAGATGGAGCCTACGCCACACGAACCATCACAGACTTGCAAAATATCACCCCCTCTTCGCCCCTGAGGGTTAAGAATGGCCACACTGGGTCAGACCAAAGGTTCGTCAAGTCCAGTATCCTGCGTTCCATCACTGGTCAATGCCAGGTGCTCCAGAGGGAATGAACAGAACAGGTCATAGTCAAGTGATCCATCCCCTGTTGCCCATTCCCAGCCTCTGGCAAATGATTCCTTCGGCGTCACTGCCTTCTATTACCCTTCTCTAAACCCTGGAGACGGCTACCATGTGTGCCGCCGGAGTGCCGACAATGCTCATGGCAAGAACATACCCTTGTGCACGTTGATTGCCCACTAATCCCTCCACCCTCTCTTATGGACCACCACCTTGTCGTGGTGGGGAGCCTTGCGTGGGCTTAAAGACGCTCAGAACTACATCGTTCTGAGCTTTCCTACTCCTGGTAGGGTCCCCCTTGGCAAGCAGGTCTGAGGCGAGGCTCCTGACTTACCATGGTCCAAACTTCACCACGACCCCAACGGTGGCTTGGGCGCATATAGAAGATCTTCTAGTACTGTGCAGCTGTGAAGGCGGATGAGGGCTGCAGCAGGAGTGAGGCCGCTGGTGGTCTTGGATCTCCTTGCGACGGGTCAGGGTTTTCCTCCCGTCAAGTCTCGTGCGGTTACCGCCTGCGCACTGGTTTCCCCACGTTAAACTATTTCACGCGCAAGCCTCTGCCCAAGGCCTCACACCTGTGGTCATGTGTGTGAGTGGCGGAGAAGACAGGCGCCATGATCTCTGGGAGTCTTTCGTCTCAAATCTGCATGCCACGTGATGGCCGTCTTGTGCTTGGATGAGACAGAAGTGCATTTCGGCAGCAGCGGCTGTGATGGAGCAGGCCTCTTTTAGGATCTCTTCTGCTCGCCCCAAACGGGCAGGGCTGGCTCCAAGTTTTTTGCTGCCCCAAGCAAAAAAATTTCCCCGCGCCCCCCCCCCTGGTCCCGCCCCAACTCTGCCCCTTCCCCGCCCCATTCCAACCCCTTCCCCAAATCCCCGGCCCCGCCTCCTCCCCCAGGCACGCCGCATTTCCCCTAAGCCTGGGAAGGAGGGGGGAGAAGCAGAGCAGCGGCGCGCTCGGGGGAAGAGGCGGAGGTGAGCTGGGGGAGGAGCGGTTCCTCTGCCCCCTCCCCCAGGGTTACTTCCTGCGGCCCTCCCCGCGCCCCCCACCGCCCCAGCTCACCTCCACTCAGGGCCGGCTCCCGGCTTTTTGCGCCCCAAGCAAAAAATTAAAATAAAAAGTTGCCGGAGTGCTGCCCCTTGGAAAGTTCCGCCCCAAGCACATGCTTGGAGCGCTGGTGCCTAGAGCCGGCCCTGCAAACGGGGAGGGGGCCAGAAAAGGTGCCCCAAACTTCGGCAGTCTCACACGCTTCCAACTGGAGGGCAACATCCAGTGGAATCACTCAACTCCGTGGCCGAAACAAGAGATACAAGACAACGAATGAATGAAACTCTAGTAAAGAACAGAATGATCAAATACTGAGACAAACATGATTTATTGGGAAAGAGTCAACATGGCTTTTGTAAAGGGAAATCACGCCTCACCAATCTACTAGAATTCTTTGAGAGGGTCAAACAAACATGTGGACAAGGGTGATCCAGTGGATATAGTGTACTTAGATTTTCAGAAAGCCTTTGACAAGGTCCCTCACCAAAGGCTCTTAAGCAAAGTAAGTTGTCACGGGATAAGAGGGAAGGTTCTCTCAGGGATCGGTAACTGGTTAAAAGAGAGGAAACAAAGGGTAGGAATAAATAGTCACTTTTCAAAATGGAGAGAGGTAAATCGTGGTGCCCCCCAGGGGTCTGTACTGGGCCCAATCCTATTCAACATATTCATAAATGATCTGGAAAAACAGGTAAACAGTGAGGTGGCAAAGTTCGCAGATGATACAAAACTACTCAAGATAGTTAAGTCCCAGGCAGACTGCGAAGAGCTACAAAGAGACCACACAAAACTGGGTGACTGGGCAACAAAATGGCAGATGAAATTCATTGTTGGTAAATGCAAAGTAATGCACATTGGAAAACCTAATCCCAATTTTACATATAAAATGACGGGGTCTAAATTAGCGGTTACTGCTCAAGAAAGAGATCTTGGAGTCACTGTGAATAGTTCTCTGAAAACATCCACTCACTGTGCAGCAGCAGTCGAAAAAACCTTTAAGCAGAACGTCCTACACATTTGAACATCTGGGGAGCTAGCCTCAGCGTATTGCTACGTCAAAATAGGCTGGGGTTAATACAATAAAAAAAAATAGTGAGAAATCTCCTTGAACCCACCTGATGTCCTTTCCCTGTGCAGAGTTTCCAGTTTTCACACCTGATGAGATCTCTCATCTGGAACAAGACAAAGAGCCATGGGTCCCAGATCTCCATGATTCAGAGGAAAGAGAGATCCTGAGAGGTACCTGCACAAGGGAGGAATCATTCAGTCAATTCAAAACCTGTCCGTGTCTGAAGGAAACAGCTGCGGTTCCCGACAGAGACCTTGTGAGTTCTCCGAGTTCAGGATTCTCCCCAGCAGGTTTGTATCCTCAGGGCAGAAGTCGCTCATGACGTCCTACCCATCCTGAGTGACAGCTGGCAGTAGCCCCTTCCTTCCCTTTCCCCTGAGTGCTTGGACGGGATTTACAGGCAGAATTGATCCCCTTACCTCTGTAGGACAGAATTTGGGGAAATTCAGTCCCTGATTTATGTCTATCTCTCCAGCACTTATTTCTTTGACCACGATAGTGATAGTGACCGTGAAATGCTCAGGGAGATTTGAGATGCTATACAAATAAAAAACACAATAATAATGGGGGATTTCAAGTATCCCCATGTTGACTGAGTCCATGTCACCTCAGGATGGGATGCAGAGATAAAGTTTCTTGACACCATAAATGACTGTTTCTTGGAGCAGCTGGTCCTGGAACCCCCCAGAGGAGAGGCCATTCTTGATATAGTTCTAAGTGGAGCACAGGACCTGGTCCAAGAGGTGAATGTAGCTGGACCACTTGGTAATAGCGCCCATAATATAATTAAATTTAACATCCCTGTGGAAGGGGGAAAAGACCAAAGAAGCCCACCGTAGTAGCATTTAATTTCAGAAAGGGGACCGACGCCCAAGTGAGGACGTTAGTTAAACAGAAATTAAAAGGAACAATCTCAAAAGTGAAATCCCTGCAAGCTGCATGGAAGCTTTTTTTAAAAAAAAACCATACTAGAGACTCAAATAAAATGTATATCCCAAATTAAAAAACATAGTAAGAGGACCAAAATGTGCCACCGGGGCTAAACCCCAAAGTAAAAGAAGTGGTTAGAGGTGTCACGGAGTCCCCGGGTGATGCTCTGGAACTGCTCCCCACAAAGCCAGTCAGGACTTTGGGGAGCCTCCTCTCCCTTGGAGCAGACTGTCTTCAGGGCAAGAAGCTCACGCGGCTTCACCTCCTGGGTCTCTCCTGGGAGCATTCAGCGTATGCCCCTCCGTGTGCTTCCCACAGCGAGTCCGCCCAGGCGGGGTCCTGGGGAAGCCAGAGGTCCTGCACGCACCCCCACTCTGCAGTCAGACGTGACTCTCAGCCAGCCAGTAAAACAGAGGTTTATTAGATGACAGGAACATGGTCTAAAACAGAGCTTGTAGGTACAGCGGCGAATGGGACCCCTCGGCCGGGTCCATTCTGGGGTTCAGAGAGCCAGACACCCACGTCTGCCCTCACTCCTCGTCCACAGCTAGCTCCAACTCTGAAGCCCCCTCCAGCCCCTCCTTCTCTGGGCTTTGTCTCTTTCCTGGGCCAGGAGGTCACCTGATCTCTTTGTTCACCTTTAGCTATTCCCTTGCAGGGGGGGAAGGGGCCCCGGCCATTTGTTGCCAGGGAGACAGAGTGTCAGTGATTTATGCACACTGGCCTTTCCTCACCACCTAGAGACTTAAGAAATGCATAGGGGAAACTGAGGCACAGTATTCAGAGGAAATATTAAGAACAGTCCCACTTCGTCACAAGAGGTAAAAAGGCATCCTTTAAAAATTGGAAGTTAAATCCTACTGAGGAAAAGAGAAAGGAACATAAACGGTAGAAAGCCAAGTGCAAAAGTACAATCAGGCAGGTCAAAAAAGATTTTGAAGAGGAACTTGCCAAAGACTCAAAAAGTAACCAGAACAAAATTTGTAAGTAGCACGAAGCTTGCTAAACAAACAGTCGGGCCACTGGACAATCAAGTTGCTATAGCAGCATTCAAGGATGATAAGGCCGTTAGAGAGAAACTAAATGAATTCTTTGCATCAGTCCTCGCAGCAGAGGATGTGAGGGAGATTCCCAAACCAGAGCCATTCTTTTTAGGTGACAAATGTGAGGAACTGTCCCAGATTGAGGTATCATTAGAAGAGATTTTGGAACGAACTGACAAATTAACCAGTAATAAATCACCAGGACCAGGTGGTATTCACCCAAGAGTTCTGAAGGAACTCAAATGTGAAATTGCAGAACTACTAACTGTAGTCTGTAACCTATCATTTAAATCAGCTTCTGTAGCGGATGACTGGAGGATAGCTAATGCGACGTCAACATTTATAAAAGGCTCCAGAAGCAATCTTGGCATTTACAAGTCAGTAAGCCTAACTTCAGTACAAGGCAAATTGTTTGAAAGTCTACTAAAGAACAGAATTGTCAGACACATGGATGAACACAATTTGTTGGCGAAGAGTCAACATGGCTTTTGTAAAGGGAAATCATGCCTCACCAATCTATTAGATTTATTTGACGGGGTCAAGAAGTCTGTGGACAAGGGTGATCCAGTGGATATAGTGTACTTAAATTTTCAGAAAGCCTTTGACAAGGTCCCTCACCAAAGGCTCTTACGCAAAGTAAGCTGTCATGGAATAAGAGGGAAGATCCCCTCATGGATCGGCAACTGGTTAAAAGATAGGAAACAAACTGTTCCCATTGTGTGGTTCTTGGGCAGCCCTCACTGACTTGTAACTCCCTTGATTACAACTTTTCTGCTGGGATTAGTTTGCCTTTTTTTTAATGTCACTAGCAAACAAACAAACATACAGCAAAATTTCATAACTTGATACACACTCGGGATTTCATACTTTGACAGGACAGTGGTGTTCAGCAGATCACGACCTTTCCTATGATATCTTACAAGGCATGTTTTGTACAAAACAGATCAGAATGATCTGACAGTGGTGAATATGGGGGTTCCCGGGTGCTGCTTGGAGGTAAAAAGTGTCACATTGAGATATAAAGTTATATGTAGAACAAGATCTCTGGATTAACATTTTTTTTTTTAATCTAAAATTTGGGATCTATGAAGAAAACTCAGAGCCAGAATGGTTATTGCATCAGGCACCCTAAGGCCTGGGCTACACTAGTGGGGGCGGGTTTGAACTAAGATATGCAACTTCAGCTACGCTATTCGCGTAGCTGAAGTCGAAGTATCTTAGTTCAACTTACCTGGCCGTCCTCACAGCGGCGAGTCGACTGCTGCGGCTCCCCCGTCGACGCTGCTTACTCCTCCTGCCGAGGTGGAGTACGGGCGTCGATTAGCTGGATCGATTTATCGCGTCCAGACGAGACGCGATAAATCGATCCCCGATACATCGAACACTACCCGCCGATCCAGCGGGTAGTATAGACGTACCCTTAGAAAAGGATAGAAAGAGAGAAAACATGTTTTACGTGCCACCCACGTCACACTAAAATATTCTAGAAGCTGAGGGATCTGGCCTAGAATTTGATGAACAAAACACAAGTTAAAATGTATTAAACTATGGAGGTACATGACTAGACAGCTCAGATGATTAGCAATGGCGTAAAGCAGTGATTCTCAAACTTTTGTAGTGGTGACCACTTTCACACAGCAAGCCTCTGAGTGCGACCCCCCCCTTATAAATTAAAAACACTTTTTAATATATTTAACACCATTATAAATGCTGGAGGCAAAGCGAGGTTTGGGGTGGAGGCTGACAGCTTGCGACCCCCCACATAATAACCTCACGACCCCCTTAGGGGTCCCGACCCCCAGTTTGAGAACCCTTGGCGTAAAGGCACTTTACCTTTAGGTCACCAACTTGTAGGCTTGGCAGAATTTGATTTTTATTAGGGCTGTCAAGCGATTAAAAAAATTAATCGCAATTAATCACGCTGTTAAACAATAATGGAATACCATTTCTTTAAATATTTGTGGATGTCTACTCTTTCAAATATATTGATTTCAATTACGACACAGAATACAAAGTGTACAGTGCTCGCTTTTTATTTATTTTTGATTACAAATATTTGCACTGCAGAAAACAAAAGAAATGGTATTTTTCAATTCACCTGATACAAGTACTGTTGTGCAATCTCTTTATCATGAAAGTTGAACTTACAAATGTAGAATTATGTACAAAAAATAACTGCATTGAAAAATAAAACAATGTAAAACTTTAGAGCCCACAAATCCACTCAGTCCTACTTCAGCCAATCGCTCAGACAGATAAACTTGATTACAATTTGCAGGAGATAATGCTGCCCTCTTCTTGTTTACAATGTCACCTGAAAGTGAGAATCGGCATTTGCATGGCACTGTTGTAGCCGGCGTTGCAAGGTATTTACATGCCAGATGCGCTAAAGATTCATATGTCCTTTCATGCTTCAACCACCATTCCAGAGGACATGCGTCCATGGCTGATGATGGGTTCTGCTCGATAACAATCCAAAGCAGTGCAGACTGATGCATGTTCATTTTCATCATCTGAGTCAGATGCCACCAGCAGACGGTTGATTTTCTTTTTTGGTGGTTCGGGTTCTGTAGTTTCCGCATCTGAGTGTTGCTCTTTGAAGACTTCTGAAAGCATGCTCCACACCTTGTTCCTCTCAGATTCTGGAAGGACTTCAGATTCTTAAATCTTGGGTCAAGTGCTGTAGCTATTTTTAGAAATCTCACATTGGTAAATTCTTTGCGTTTTGTCAACTCTGCTGTGAAAGTGTTCTTAAAATGAACATGTGCTGGGTCATCATCTGACTGCTATAACATGAAATATATGGCAGAATGCGGGTAAAACAGAGCTGAAGACATATATTTCTCCCCCAAGGAGTTCAGTCACAAATTTAATTAACCCATTATTTTTTAACGAGCATCATTAGCATGTCCTCTGGAATGGTGGCTGAAGTATGAAGGGGCATACGAATGTTTAGCATATCTGGCACATAAATACCTTGCAACGCCGGCTACAAAAGTGCCATGCGAATGCCTGTTCTGACGTTCAGGTGACATTGTAAATAAGAAGCAGGCAGCAGCATCTCCTGTAAATGTAAACAAACTTGTTTGTCTTAGCGATTGGCTGAACAAGAAGTCGGACTGAGTGGACTTGTAGGCTCGAAAGTTTTACATTGTTTTGTTTTGGAGTGCAGTGATGTAACGAACAAAAAAATCTACATTTGTAAGTTCCACTTTCATGATAAAGAGATTGCACTACAGTACTTGTATGAGGTGAATTGAAAAATACCATTTCTATCATCATTTTTTACAGTGCAAATATTTATAATAAAAATAATATAAAGTGAGCTCTGTACACCTTGTATTCTGTGTTGTCATAGAAATCAATATATTTGAAAATGTAGTAAAAACATCCAAAAATATTTAATAAATTTCAGTTGGTATTCTAATGTTTAACAGTGTGGTTAATCACAAGTAATATTTTTGAGTTAATCATGTGAGTTGACAGCCCTAATTATTATTTTTATTTTTTCATAATTTCAAATTATTTAAGCTTTTTCCCCCTCAATTTTTATGGTTTTAAGTTTTCAGAATTGTGCAAAATTAAAGGTTTTAGACTTTTTTTTTCAATTTTTATCAATTTACATTTTCAGTTGCAGAAAATTATGCGGGGAAGTCAGACAACAATTCAAAACGTTAAAGCTTTATAACTGATCAAACAAACTGTCACCATCACATGTCAAAATATATAAAGTCAGTATCCCTAAACAAAACTCTGCGTTCTCCAACAGCATTTTTCTTATTTTTCCTAGCTGAAATTTTGATGGTTGATGGAAATATTTTTGGTTGGGTTGTGTGTTTGCAGTGAAATTGATATTTATTGATTAAAAATCTAATCCTTCCAATCTGAATCCACAGAAGTATGTTCTTAATTTAAAGCATGTGAGTGCTCTCATTGAAACCCTAGGGATTAGGGATTGCCAAACATGTGGAGCTTTTGGCATTACCTCTTCCACTGCAGCTAATTTGCATCATGGTTTGGTCTCCCCTTTTCCACTCCTGTTTCTGCCAACAGGTGATGGGATGCTGAGTGAGAAGAAGGAGCACCAACCTCAGCAGGAAGATGCTGAGCAAGACGAACCACACGGGGCATTATTGCAAATATCTGAGAAGGATGTGTCCAGGAGTCATGAGCAGAGAGAAGGTCGTCAAAGTCAGCACAGGCCAGAGAGGAAGCAGGGAAACAAGCCAAGGGAGAAATTGAATAAATCCATTAATAGTTGGGGACCTCACAAATACATCAAGGAAACCACAACCCAGCAGAAAATCCAGGCAGGAGCGAGAAACAACACGTGCTCTGATTGTGGGAAAAATTTCAGTAGCCGCTCAGTTCTTCTTAAACATCAGAGGATCCACACAGGGGAAAGACCCTATGAATGCCGTGAGTGTGGGAAAAACTTCACTCAGAGCTCATCCCTTATTAAACATCGGAGAATACACACGGGAGAGAGACCCTATGCGTGCTGTGAGTGTGGGAAAGCCTTCACTCAGAGATCATCCCTCATTACACATCAGAGGATCCACACAGGGGCGCAATCCTATGCATGCTCTGAATGTGGAGAAAGCTTCACTCGGCGCTCAAACCTGATTGTACATCAGCGAATTCACACAGGAGAAAGACCCTACCAATGCTGTGAGTGTGCGAAAAACTTCACCAACAGCTCCTCGCTTATGAAACATCAGAGAATCCATACGGGAGCCAGGCCTTATGAATGCCACGAGTGCGGGAAAACCTTCACCCGCAGCTCACACCTCATTGCACACCAGAGAACCCACACGGGAGAGAGACCCTATGAATGCTGCGAATGCGGGAAAACCTTCACGGATAGCTCAGACCTTATTAAGCATCAGAGAATCCACACGGGAGAGAGACCTTATGAATGCAGTGAGTGCAGGAAAAGCTTCATGGATAGCTCAGACCTTACTAAGCATCAGAGAATCCACACGGGAGAGAGACGTTATGAATGCAGTGAGTGCAGGAAAAGTTTCACTCACAGCTCAGCCCTTATGACACATCAGAGAATCCATACGGGAGAAAGACCTCACGAATGCTGCGAGTGCGGGAAAAGCTTCACTCAGAGCTCGGACCTAATTAAACATCAGAGAATCCACACCGGCGAGCGGCCCTATAGATGCGGTGAGTGCGGGAAAAGCTTCACTTGGCGCTCGAGCCTAATTACGCATCAGAGATTCCACACAGAAGAAAGACCCTATGGGTGCCGTGAGTGCGGGAAAAAATTCTTTGTCAGCTCAGCGCTTCGGGAACATCAGAGGATCCACATTGGAGCCAGACCTTATCAGTGCGGTGAGTGCGGGAAAAACTTCACTCGCAGCTCGAACCTTATTAGACATCAGAGGCTCCACTCAGCTTAGAGACACTCTAGATGCTCTGAGTGTGGGAAAAGTTTCTATCAGAACTCAGCCCTTACTTATCCCCAGAGAATTTGCAAGGGAAACAAACGCCATAAAAACCTTATTTAAGGCTGACCATTTTTATTTATTTTTTTCCTAATTCCCTCTTAAAGACTTTTTGAACTACATTTGAAACCCAGGTGTAGAGCCAATACTCATAACTTCAAATACAAAAATGATACATGCAGGCCAAGAGCATAATCATATTCAGCAAATCATAACCTTTCCATAGAACTCTTACATGCCCCATTGGACAAGATTGGTTGCAAAGATATAACAGTGGTTGCAACAATGATCTATATGGTCATTGTTTAATCAGATAACGTCACAGCCACGTGTAAAAGGATAATCCGGCAGGCCAAAAAAGAATTTGAAGAGCAACTAGCCAAAGACTCAAAAAGTAACAACAACAAAATTTTTAAGCACACCAGAAGCTAAACAGACAGGGGGCCACTGGCCGATCGAGGTGGTATAGCAGCACTCAAGGATGATAAGGCCATTGTGGAGAAACTAATTTACCGTATATACTCGTTCATAAGCCGAATATTTTTGGTAAAAAAGTGACGCATCAAAGAGCGGGGGTCGGGTCTACACCAAAATTTGTGGATTTTAAACTCTATGGAATCATTGAATTGAATATCTAATACATTATCGTTTTGTTTACCTGGAGCGTCTGCAGGCATGGAGCCCCTCAGCTCCCTGTGACTGCGGACTTCCCGCAGCTCCCATTGGCTGGGAACGGCGAACCGCGGCCACAGGGAGCTGAGGCGCTCCATGCCTGCAGACGCTCCAAGTTAACAAAATGTCCCGACCCGCCAGCGGCTTACCCTGACGTCTGGGAGACAAAGTTTGCCATCCCCTGAAATATAGGGTCGGCTTATGAAAGGGTCATACAGTTTTTACTGTTTTTACCTAACCATCGTGGGGGGTCGGATTATAAACGAACGGGCTAATGAACGAGTATATACGGTATTTGCATCACGTGGTCTCTCGGGTCCCCTCGGTGAGTTGCCCGATTTTCTCTTTTGTAGCTGGCCCTTCTTTGGAGTGAATCCGGCGCTCCTTTCTGTGACCTCCCTTTGTTCTATGAGTCTTGGGAGCACGTCTCCCTCCTACCAGGAATGTCCATGAGCTCCAGGGGACACGGGTGACCTAAACTAGCTCCATTGAGATCAAATTACCTGGGCCACGTCTCTGCTCGGATTTTTCATGGCTAGCTTGATGTAAAACAACAACTGTTCTTGCGGTAAAGACATAGTTCATGTATAAAGAGTCGCTGGGGGTGTCCCTCATTTCCCATCATCCCAGCAGTGTTTCCTTCTGTCTGAGCTGCGTAGAGTTTATCTTCTTCCCAGTCTATCCCTCCATCTCCCGTTGTTCCCCAAGACACCATGTTCTGAGCTCTCCGTGCTTGGGAACCATGGGTCGATTTCTTTGATCCTAAATCAGACTCTTTAGGTTTGGAGGTGAAAGAGTCCCAGACTCAGAAGGAGAATGTTTAATGGATCATTCTTAGTTTAAACCCCATTTTTTGGTCTATTGGCAAAGCCACTTCCTGTCTTTTTCCTTCTGAGTTGGGATTGTTTTTGGATGGGAAAACTGGCTGTTTTTTCGCATTATGATGATGTTAAAACTTTCCTAAGTCACATGACTCAGTATTTGTGAGACAACCTGGAGTGAAGCAGGTTTCGAAGGATGAGAGGAGAAGATGATGGGAGAAGCTGTTGTCCTGATTCTGAGTCATCAGGTGTATCCTGCTGTGGAATTTAACTTTCTGTGACATCAAAATTGTCTTACAGTTCTGTGAGAGGTGGGTTTCTTTCTCTCTCTCCTGAAGGTGATTGGTTACATAAATGGATATTGGTTTTGTTTGATTGAATGTGACAGAATTACTGGGGACTTTGAGCAAAATGACCACTTGTTAAAATAGTCTCTATTTATTTTCAATTATTATTATTATTATTATTTATTATTTTTGCTTTGCCGATTATCCTATCCTGCCATGATGACGTGGAGAAAATTCAAGTGCAGTTCAGTCAACCCAAGGTAGGGTGACCAGATGTCCCGATATTTAACCCTTTGCATCCCGATCAATGTACGATCGGGACGCCATTTGTCCCGATATTCAGGTAAGGAGGCGAGCGGGAGGGAGGCGCTGACCCCGTGGGTGCTCCGGGGCTGGAGCACCCACAGGGAAAACTTGCTGCCAAGCTCCTCCATCCTCACCTCCTTCTCCCCCCCTCCTCCCAGCACACTGCGTCCCTGCTCCTCCCCCCCTCCCAGCGCTTCCCGCCGCCTAACAGCTGTTTGGCGGTGCTTAGTGCTTTACAGGAGGGAGGGGGAGGAGCAGGGATGTGGCCGTGTTCATGGGAGGAGGCAAAGAAGAGGCAGGAGTGGGGACTTGGGGGAATTGGGTGGAATGGGGGCGGGAAGAGGCGTGGGGTGGGCAAGGGGAAGTCGGCGCCGTAGGGGTGAGTGGCCCGCAGGGAGGCGAGAGGTGGTTGGGGGACTGAGGTGGGACGCAGCAAGCCAGCGGCAGGCCGGGGGATGAGGAAGGGTGTGGTGGGGAGCGGGGCAAGTGGAGAGGGGGCAGGACCTGGGGCAGAGTGGGGGCGGAGCCTGGGAGGAGCGGGGGTGGACTGTGGGCAGGGCCAATGTGTCCCAATATTTTTGTGTGGTGATCTGGTCACCCTAACCTGAGGGAACACTTCAAGCTATTGGCTATGCTAACGAAGAAAACGTAGTGGTTTTGAATCTCCACTCTGAAACTGATCAACAGCACATCCTTAGATGCTATAAACTCTTCATTGAGAACTGTTTAGACTTCTGCTCATTAAAGCCTCGTTAAGGGCTGTGTCTGTGTTGGGGGGTGAAAGAGAAGGAATTACCACATGAGTTCAATCTAAGGAGGAAGCTTTGATTGGCTTTGAGGTTGCAGTTTAAACACGAACAATCATTGGGTTTCAGTATTGAAATCGTTAACAAGCTCAGTGTGGATTACACGGCCTGGGTGAAGTTCTCTGAGGTTTACAACTAAATGGACAGCCGCCTCCTTGGATTCCCGTTTTAGGATTTATAAGGGTTGATGATCTGTTGTATTAATCTGATCATTTGGCTAAACTGACAACATGATTGCAATGCACTAGCATTGTTAACACATTGATTTACTGGTTTTGACCTTAACGTAAGTGTGTTCACCCAACGGTTAGTTTAGTCATGTATACAGTAGTTTAGTCTTAGTGATGTGTGTTCTTGATTTTATTTTTTTCCATTGAATAAAATGTATTAAGGGGAATCTGGAGTCATTTCTTTCAATAAGCAACGTGGGCCAGAACTGCCGAAAATCAGGGTGGAGACCTTGAATTGCCATCTAAATTAACCCTTTGGTTCTCACAGGGGAGCAGCTACAGGGAGCACCTATCTCAGCTCCAGCTGCAACTGGAGGAGCTCTGGGCATCACAAGGGAAAATGAGCTCCCCCCGCCCCCCCAGGTTTTTGGGAATTGGGTGGGGTAGTGTGGATGAGAGAGGAGGGGTCAGTGAGGTGGGGAGAGTTTCTGAATAGTGGCAGGTGATGGTGGCTTGCTCTGCAGTGTCCATCATGGCTAGGCCCAGCCTGTACCCCACTCTGGCTGCCTATACCTAGTCAGGCCCAGCTGATGTTGGGGGTCTTATTTGAAGGGCTGTTAATGGAGGAGAAGAGCCGGTACGGTTCAGCGAATGTGGTGCTGGCAAAGTAAATGCATGTGTGTTAACAGGTCATATCGGGGCATTGCAGGGGGAAAAAGGCAGAGTTAAGGTTGTGTGGCCAACCTTAACTATGCATTTCCTGGATTTCAAAAGTTTGGATTTTGCTGAAGTTGAGGTTCTGAAAGGAACAACATCTCACCAGGCAAACTCAGCTAGGCATTGACCAAGTTTTTTTGACCTTTAAGTAATAGAAGCAGGGGAGGTCCTGCGTGTCAACTGGATATTAACCAGCTATTAAGGCCTACTGCAGGGCTAGATAGTTCGGAAGAAAACAGTGAAAATGCCCATCAGCAAAGGCTTCCTTAAAACAAATACATCCATGACGGGGTGGACCCCCCTGCTGGGACACCACCTGATGTACTGGGATTTCACTGAGCCACTCTTGCTGCGCCGGCCTGGGTTCCCACTCCCTGTTTTGCTGAAGTAAGCACTCTGGCCTCTAGAAGCACTCACACACAGGTAGGCCGTACCCAGCTGCACACAGACTCAAGTCAGCTCTGTGTGAGCGGACTCCCCCAGCACTCACGTGCACATCCTTTTTGGGAGATAAACCCAAAATAAAACTGTCTTGCGCTGTATAGAAAAATCTGCACAGCGCACGCTCATAAAAATCCGCCCTCTTCCTCAATGTGAAGAGAGATGTGCACAACTTCTTCCTCCCCTCCCCAGTTAGAAATAACATAAACTGGGTTTAATAATAAACAAAATAAATGTATTAACTACAAAAGGTGGATTTTAAGAGGTTCAAGCAGGGGTGAAAGTAACTTAAAGGACTTACCGGTACACCGGAGTCCTGAGCGAGGGCGTGGCCTCAACCGGAAGAGGCGGGGCCTTTAAAGATGTAAAGGCCCTGGGGCTCTGGCTGTGGCTGGGAGCCCCAGGGCCTTTAAATCACCCTGGAGCTACCAGCTGCAGAGGTGGCTGGGAGCCCCGGGGCTCAGGGGCGAATTAAAGGGCCCGGGGCTCCGGCCGCCGCGGGCTGCAAATAATCATAGAAGGTTAGGGTTGGAAGAGACCTCAGGAGGTCATCTAGTCCAACCCCCTGCTCAAAGCAGGACCAACCCCAACTAAATCATCCCAGCCAGGGCTTTGTCAAGCTGGGCCTTAAAAACCTCTAAGAATGGAGATTCCACCACCTCCCTAGGGAACCCATTCCAGTGCTTCACCACCTTCCTAGTGAAATAGTGTTTCCTAATCTCCAACCTCGACCTCCCCCACTGCAACTTGAGACCATTGCTCCTTGTTCTGTCAGCTCCCCTTTTTGCTGCCTCATCAGCTCGATTATTCCACTTCGCTTTCTCAGTTCTCTTCATATGAGCTTCTCACTTTTCCCAGATGTATTACTGGGTCACAAGTCTCTGCTAATGTCCACGTGTATGCCAGCTTTTCAGCAGGCACTAAAGGCTTTCCATCCGCACACTTAATACCTCACTCCTTCCACTTGGGAACCAGTTCACTAGGGATCGGAGGACCCAATCTGAATCTGTAAAAGTGGCTGCCTTCTGCATGTTGCGGGTATTCTCAAAGGCTACTGCTGTAGCAACGATCTTAGGTGCCTGGGTGGAGCCAGCAAGCACTGCCCTTTTAGATTCATAGATT